CTTAAAATACATGTAATTAGTTTGCTGTCATGTTCATCGTTGACAGCTTTTTCTTAGTTTCTAATAAAATAAAGATGTTTCACATCAAAAATGGTATGCTACTTGCTCATTTTATTTATGGCATGGATTTAAAGCCGTCCATCGCGAAGTTGCATTGCTCGTAGATATAATTCTAATACAAATGGCGCTGCATCTACTCCAGCGCGCTCACGCGCATGGTGAGTAAACAAGCAACTTTTGTGCCCGTTGTCAGCTTTCGATCGGAGTAGGAGAAAAAATGTTTTGATGCTACCCGAGCCGTAAGTAACCTTTTTCGGAACTACAGCTAAAAACGAAAAATTTTTGCTGGGGGATTCATTAAAAATGTTATGCTTACCTATGAAGCGAAAAACTCGGCTTTGCCTCGGCCGATAATTACACGTGCTCTGAGACGTTGCAGTTTTTCGCTCTCCTGGTACGTAATCTACTATTATTTGCTTGATATTTAACCCAGAATTATTAAACGGTCAAGTGATGAAAGAACATAATTTTTAAATCTATTGGTATTCACAAAAATAGTATCTTTTTTGTCACTCACGCAAGAATTGCATACGATATTTTTTGAACGTTACGTGAGTAAAACGTGGCTTTTATGTCACTAAAAAGTTAAAAAGAACCCTGTCTTACGCGCGACGTGTTGAAAAAAAAACGTTTTTAAAAAGTTGGAAAAAAGTTACAAAAAAACGTTTACTAAACGTTAAAATTACGTTGAAGTAACGTTTCTGCTTTTAAAAAACTTCTTTGGTAAACGTTTATCAAACGTTCCTTAAACCTTTATCAAACGTTCCTTAAACGTTTATTAAACGTTTATTGAACGTTCCTACCCCATAGGATACAATTTTTGGGCGGACATTTTAACGTTTCTGAAACGTTTCTGAAACGTTAATCCAACTTTTTTCAAGAACGTTATAAGGTTCCAAATTTAACCTTGAGGAAACGTTATAAAAACGTTCTGTGTTATTAGGGAAACCATACAATTTATCTTATGGCTTACCATATAATATCCCATATGCATTTTTTTCGTAGGGTAAACACCTGATTAGGTATAAAATTGGGAGGAGGATCAACGATGAGTATAACTGCATGTTATCCGACGTTAAAATTGCTTTGTCGAAAACAAACTATGTTTGTACTACTGCTGACGCGTGGAGCTCAAAACATCGACGATTTCTTGGCGTCACGGCTCATTGGGTAAATAAAAATTAATAATTTAAGTAATGGTACAATATTGATATACCTGTATATGTAAATTTTTTTGCCTCCAAGCCGAAAGTAACATTTCGTTCTCGCCCAGAAACATTTAAAAATTAATTTAAAAAATAATTTAGGTAAAAAAGTCTCAGAGAACGTGATTTCATGCCGAGGCAAACCTTTCAATATTGCGTATACTATCCGAGAAAATAACGTGTATGCATGTGCCATGCAAGTCTTTTGTTTAGCCCTTATATAGTCAAATATAGATTGCGTCCTTGTTCTTCGGCTGAAGTATATCGCTTATACATCATTACTATTCGATCTTAACTCTATATAACGCTTTATACTTCGCATACTTCACACTTTTTCGACTTATTTTCAGCAGAAGTTCGACACAATAACGTATAATACAATATTCAGCACACGTCAGCGAGGTTGGATCGAACAAAAATAACGTTTCAAGCTTTACAGTGCGCCCCTTACGAGAGCTGCGCAGTCCTCTCTCCGCACCAGTTGTTTTTGTGACTTCCTTGCTTGAATTATTATAAATCATCATTTTTCCTCGGTATTTATACATCAGTGGGCAAGCCTATTATTTCGATGCTTATATAGTCGACGAATAGTATACGAGGGTACTCACGTGTATTGAATGGTATCATTATGTGACGGAAAATAGCATATACAGCGTGTGCGCGCGTAATTATTGCAAATTTCGCAAATTTTCGGTTTCGCACATATATATTTATGCGTGCAATGAATAAAAAAAACTATATCACGTACATGTGCTAGAGAAAAAATATAATATAAAATGTCGAGCTCACGCGAATGCAAACACAATGTTATTCAAAGCAACTATGCATTTTATAGAGCCACGACATATGTGCAGTGACCTTTGTCATCGTCAATATGCACAAAAATTTCAGAATTAAATTAAAATTCTATTTCAGTGCGCATTTTTCCGGTAACCGTCGAAATTTTTCACAGCGACGACGTGTTGCACTATAAAGAGCAAGAACGTATTAGGATACCAGAACCCCAAATATTATATGCTATTTCTGTTCTCTTGTGGGCTCTCTTCCCAAAGTATTCAATACCCACATCTCGCGTTAAGATCGCTTTCTGTGCTTGCAGCGCTTTCGCTCGCGTGCACTCGCTCACTCTGAACAAAGCTGGATAGTCTCTCACTCTTTCTCTCTTTCTC